TGGGTCACTGTATATAAACAGCTCCAGCTAAAGGTATAACAAAGACTGTATTGTGCTATGCACAGCAGAGCCAATAAACGAATTCAAAAGACACCTAGATGTGTTCCTGGAAAAAAAGGGGGCAGGGGTCTAAGTGGTCCGCTGGGAAAACAGGAAAGTGAGATTAAGATAAATTAAAACAAGTTTGGCACGCTGGGCTTGACAGCCCCTCCTATTCTTATCTCTTTTGCAGCTTTTAGACCATGTATGGTTATAAAATTAATTGTTATTTTGCACTGAAAAAAGTATTCATTTCAGAAGCAGAATGCCACCACAACACACAAGACTAATGCTGTTAAAATGAGCCTACAACAACGTACAGGAATTTGAATAAAGCCTGATGGACCTTTATAAGACAGCATACCATTTGTGCTGAGAGTATTAGCATGGGATTTGAGGAGAAGGGGAGCAGGGATGGGGTGCTGGGTTTTTTTGGTGTTTGCTTTTTTGGTTTGGGGTTGCTTTTTTTGGAGGGGGGGGAATATCTGGTTTTTTTAACCTCATATCTATTGCCCAATTATCAGCTGAAATCCTGTTCCAGGGAACTCCAGCATCTACAAGTCCTTCTGATCAACTCTGCAGTTTCATCTGAGGGTATTAAAATGCACTTAAACAACTGATTTTATATACACACAGTTACTAAAACACAATACTCAGGTCAGTAAGGTTAATATTCAGGTTGCTAAAGAATTCTGTTAGGAAGACAAACAGCAACAACTTCTAGTACTGACTGAATTCCCCTTACAAACCGATTAAGCAGCTGCCGGTTTGCATAGTATAAATCTATTCACTGCGAGCCACAAGGTGGAGATCTCTGGCAAAGTAGGATCAAAAGGAAGTCTTTTACCCAGCCTAATGTTACTATTAACACTTTGAGCCATTGCATCAAGCCAATTTTTCTGTTTGTTTTTAAAGTTTGATAGAAATGTCACTAGTGGAAAAATTAAGTAAAGAGCACTGGTTAGCCACAGAACTGGACACACCTGGCTGCAAACCCACCAAAAGAAACTTGACTTCATTAGTACTAGGGACAGCAGAGTAAAATTTATATCTGAAATATGCCTGCACCAGTAGAATTTGCTGAGGCCACAGGCTCTCTGTGTGTTTTTACAGCTGTGTCAAGTTTTGGTTTCTGACTCTTGCCGACATTCAGGAGTGCTGAAGGAGCTCAGGCTAACAGGTCCCAAAACTTTGTAGCTGAGATTTAGATCTCAGCAATTTTAACAACCAGGTTTTGAAATAATACAAACTCCATTTGGAGTTGGAGCTGATGTAAATTAGTAGTTAAAATGCCTTACATTCTATCACTTTCGGCTCCAATGAACTTATATATTTAAGAACAGATGGCATATTTTAATAAACCATCAATATCAATTCAGGAATATAGTATCCATTTTCTGCATCATGTTGGAATTGTTGCTAGATATGGAAACGAGTTGAAGAACTGCAGCTTTGCCTGTCAACAAGTTAAACTAATTGCATCCAACTAGCAATTTCATACAGGTGCTCTGTCACTTATACCACAATACAGGAATGTACCGATCGGAGTTAAATATTGACCTATGATACCCTGCATGAGAGAAAAAGCAAGGAATGGAATTTCCTAACCTCCTAGGAGCTATGCAGATGACAGTGTCCTAAATACTTTAGTGCCTTAAAAGTATTCAGTAAAGTTTCTTTTAACTTACTTCTGAGAAAGGTTCAGATTCTGAAATTTGAAAGCATCAACATTGATGTCATCTTCTTTTGATCTACTTATCTTCATATCTTCTTATCTTCATATACTTAACTATCTTCTTTTGGAGGTACAATATATACTGATTGCAGGAGTAAATTACTTGAAAATAAATGGCTGTTACATACATTCCTCAACCAGCTCACAAACCCTTTGTCATTACCTCAGCTTCATTTCAAAAGAACCATCAGTGATAAATACATCAAGATTAATAAGTAGAACCTAACATCCAGGGTAACTGCCCTTTACTTATTTATCACTTCAAACTCCTTGCAATTGCTAAAGCTGAGATGTGAGAAAGAGTTCAACCAGGGTACATCTACATGAAGGGAAAGTGAGTGAAGAAAAGTGAACAAGCACAGAAGAAACAGAAACTGCCTGTGCAGGGGCATGGGTGAAGTGGTATATGGAGCTAGGATCACTAGCACCGAGGAAGGAAAAGAAAGCAATAATAAGGAGCAAGGGAACAGCTAACCTCTTCAAACATCAATGCATAAATTATTTTCATCTAACGTACAATAAATACTACCAGAAGAGACTAAAAAGTTCATTCATCTTGAAAAAATAATGATTGAAAGATTAGGAATAATTAAAAGATGAACGAGAAAAAAAATCACTAAAAGATTATGAAAATCCTATGCCTTCACAAACACTATGGGGAAGAGAACAGTCCTAATTTCCAAGCTCAGAATCTGGGAGAGTTCACTGTGCTTTCTTACACACCCTTAGTGCATAGTCTAGCTAGCTGTTACCTCAGGAGTCCACGTTCTCTCACAAGGAGACTCATTAAAATCAATGGGCCTCTGTGCAGCTAAACTATATTAAATATACACACAGATGTAACTGTTTTTGAGATCAAGCCTTCAAGTGTGTATATACTTCATTTAAGCATCAGCTATTGCCACATAAAAGCTATGTTAACACTAGGTTACAGTCAAAAGTATATTATAGGAATCATATTATTGCAAACTAAGCATGCTCATTATCACATTGCATGATCATTATTATGAACAAATATTGCAAAATTTAAATTCAAGGATAAACTGAAAAGATGCCTAACATGCCATGGCAGAGAATGAATGGCATTCAAGCAACTTAAGATCTCCTTGCAATTGGATCATATAGCAACCATGCCATTATAATACGCATGTATTAACATTTGAGGCTCCAGACTGGATGAAAGCATAAGGACACTGGTGGTTTTCTCTTTTTTTTTTTTTTTTTTTTTTACAGTTTGGGGAATTTTGGGGGGCAATGGAATAGTTTACTTTGCAGATATCAAAACCCTGTGCTTTGCTTTACAAAGAACTGACTGTAAGCACTATCTTTTTTTTCCCTTAAAGTTTATTGAAAAAGATCTCTATACAGGTCTAACTTACACCATGCTTCACTTTTTGAGTTCTGCATGCTTGTAAACAGCTGGCTTTGCTTCTCTTTGCTGTTTGCTGCTGCTTCAAATCCTGCAAAAAAACCTACAAGATGGCATTTGAGGTTAGTTCATATATGGCAAAACGAGGGTTAAAAGGAATGGAGAAATAATTTTCTGTTCCAAAGCAGCATTCTCTCTGCGCACAGATGGAATCAAAAGATCCCTGAAGAGATTTTGGGGGGCTTTGGAAGATAGGGTGTTTGGCTTGTTAGGGGTTTGAGTTGGGGTTTTTTTGCTTTTCGAGAAGAGTAGCCTTAAATTTACAGCTGGAACAAAGATCTGAGCTTCAGTTCCTACAGAAAGCAGAATCAACCACTGATATGACATAGAAAGCATCGGATAAGGACAAAAACGCATAAGGTATGTCATTCAATCTTTTTCTCTGGTTCTATCATCTAATTTGTCTAGGCTCACTCACACTGCCTTATGGCATCTGACCAGGAAAGCAAAGATTCCCATACTGGAATTTATGTAAGCCTATTAACATAGCAAGAAATTCCAAGACGCATGAATTTAGATTTAATTCAAAAGAGGATGACTTGTCTTTAAAATCAAGCCCGAACGTAGTAAAGGCTATGAAATTCCCAACAACTAGGAAAAAAAGGCCATTGCTGATGGAATAACTCAAGATACACCAAAATTAACACTTCCTAAAACCACATACAAAATAAAAAAAATCAGAGAGAAACTTCTTGAATTACTAATATGATCACATACCAAATCCAAATTCACCGGTTAATTCCCTTGTTTGTCACCAACAGAAACACCCTCACGGCATGTCCCTTGGTTATAGAGCTGACAAGTAAGACCTGACAATATGCCATTATTGCTATATGAAAACTGTCATTTCTCTAACAGTCTAATTTATTTTAACCACAGACCAACCTCTATTTAATCACTGAACAATTCTTTTCTTTTTTCACAACACAGGAGATCTTTCCCAGCCCTATTCTCCCACTAGAAGTGCCCTGAACATAAGGCATCCTCAACTGTATCAGGTCTCCTGTCATCACTGTGATACTGGGGTTATGAAAACCATCTTCTGCCTCCACTGCTTCTTCTCTGCCATCTCTGAAGAGTATCACCAACACAAGGCTGGAGAAACGCACTTACAGACTTTAAGGCCAGCAATGACCGTTACAACTAACTAGCAAAACCTTCCTCAGAATAGGCCAAAAAGATCCAACCTTGGTCTTCCTCGCAAATGAACTATCCTTGGAGCTACTCTCGCCTTACAATGTTTCTTTTGTGATAAAGACTAGGAATATTAAGAATCCAAAATGAAAAATAAACTAATGACTAGTTATAGTCATGTACAGGAACTTAACATAAAAACTTCGTCCCTTAACTTTCCTTTTACTCATCATCCTAGATACAGAGAAAACTCAAAGCTCTGCTAGAGTTACTTAAGTTGTGGTTATACATTTGGCAACAGTCATGTTTCTCCCTACCTCAGCTGCTTATTCCTGTCCACAAATGCCCGTTCTGTTATAGCAGCATCCGTTTCTGCAATCACACAGCAAACCACGTGGAAAATTAATTACTTTCAGACAAATCAGTATCTTCGTTTAGGCCATGGTGCAGTTTCAAAAACAAGGTCAGTAGCTCGATACAACAGGCAGTACAGCTGCAGGACTGAACGGTCAGGAGTAAGGGCTACATATACCGGCTTAAACTAATAAAGAAATAAACAAGCAGCCACAGGTTGATTCTAAGTATCTTAGAAGAATGCCTAGAAGTTACAAAAACATTGAAAGATGTGAATCATCAAGATTATCAACACCAAAGATGACTTACCCCCATCACCTTACCACGCTGTTCAACATCCTCCCACATGCAGTGAACTATATAGCGACACATGTATTTTCCTGTGCGACCCTCCTGCTTCATTCGTACCAGACACATCCTGCAAGAACATAAACACCAAATTCATAGCTTCCAGCTTTTCTTCAAATGTAAAAAGTAAATTAAATTACTTCAGCTCACTTAAGATTCTCCTTACAGTATGTGTTTTTGTGATCAGGGAAAAAAAACCCCTATACAAAGATTTTATTTTTTTTTTTATAAACTATCACAAGCTTTTCTGTTAAAGCTGTATCTGCTGGATTTTGGCCAATCCAGCTATGGAAGAGTGACAGTGGACTCTATTCTGGCTGACAGTACTGTAATCTATTAAAACAGTACCGCAACATAAACTCCTCAGCCTTAAGAACATATCACCTTTTGGAGCAGGAACAAATGTCTTGTCTAATTCTAGGCCAGAAGCCAGCTGTGATTCAGCTTGGTATACTAACGTGCTGTAAGAGTCCAAACAGCCAAGCTGTGAAAGCTTAAGCAAGTTACAGACTTCACCCAAATTCACATTAGCAATGTCCTAAATTATTTCAGCTACAGGGGTCTTTGGATACATGTCCAACCGCTTGGCAAAACCCCTACACACAGCACATGCTAGAACTTCTCACAAGTTTGTAAGTGCATTGTGGGATCTTAATGAGAATACCAGGTTCGGTTGGTTTTTTCAAGCATTAAAGCCACTTGAACTTCATTGCTGCTGTTCTGTCTAAAAAATAATTCATCAGAACAAAAATTTTATTTTGCCTCTTTTACAACATCTGCAAACAGCAGGAACTGAAAGGCACGCTGATCCCTCACTAACCTAGGAGACCAGTCCCAACTTCTCTACCTCACGAATCAGCTCTGCTCCTGTGTTATTAGGCATGAATGCCTGTCCAGGATTGACCGAGTTACTGTAGATGACGTGATGCTCAAACACTGGAGCTGAAAGAAGTCACTGCTTTGCATAAAGACATGCTACAAGTGGGAAACTGCTCACAGGAAATCCTTCTCACGGCTTATCTAAAAGCAACAGAGCAGAGCTGCTGGAGGCCACTTTGAAGCAGTTGCATACTAACAACAGTGAACGTGCCACAAGAGTTAAGAGTTAAAAATTACTATTTTTTTCATCTGCTCATTTCTTCAGTGGACATAAGATCTGTTACTCCCTACAGGCATTAAAAATATTTGGTGATCTGTGAATGCTAGCTCAACAGGGAGAATCATGAACATTTGAAGCTTGTCTATTGAGCTGACCCGTAAAAGGACTGATGCCAATCTTTATGATGGACTCTACCTTGTCTACTGATTGCCAGCAATGAGTCACAGAGACAAAACAAACTGAAGGTAACAAAAACTACATTGGTCCTATTTTTTTTTTTTTCTGATTAGAACTGCATATTTGAGTCCCATTGAGGGCCATTCAACTGAGACATCAAAATTAAAAGAAGCCCGTGGACCAGAATCTGATTTCTAGACACAGAGCTTCTGAAAGTGGCACTGGCCATACAAGAGACAGCTTGGGCTCCAACACATGCCAGGTCAGAAGACTGAGGCATGACAAGTAGACCAAGATTAAAGGGTGGAGGGACTGAGAGAATCTGTGTAGAGGGTGCGCAGAGAAGGGGAAGAGCAGCAGTCAGCAAAGGGAACATTAGGAAGACCGTGGCAATTTCTGCCTCAGGAAAGAGCTGTGTAAGCATTCCCAATGTTTATATAGTGGCAGTGACAACTCAGTATTGCTGTCCCAGCAAACAAATGCAATTAAGACAGTGTCAAGAAATGAATCCTCATCTTGCTCACAGAAAGATGACAGAGCTTTCTGCTAAAACAAGGGTCCAGAACTGAGAACAGCTGTCCAGTTACCACTCCTTCCACAAAACAAATGCACAAAGAGCTTAAAGCTCTTTAAAGCTTTGCTATTACTTCCAACAGTTTCGAAACCTTTGTTCCTCTGTGTATTTACATAATTGAGCTATATGAAAAAATTCTAAAGTTACTACATCCCAAATTTTTACCCACTCTTAACATGTCGTATGAAAAAATTTTAAAGTTACTGCATCCCAAATTTTTACCCACTCTTAACATGTCAGAGAGAAAAAAGACTCAGTTTAAAAGACTAACTTTGGGCTAAGAAAAGCATTTTTATACTTTTCTTGCTGAATACGCAAGCTCAGGAGTTTAAAAAAAAAAAAAAGTAAGAGTGGCTTGGCAAGAAAACCTCCTCCCGAGCATATAAATACTGGTATCCAGTCTGCCTTCAGTGGTACTGAAGCAGGAGGAGAGAGCAGTGCACAGACCAACAGCTAACAATTGGTCACTGATGAGCAGGACTGGAGTGGTGTTCAGAGTAAAACCTGCTACCCGCAAAGCCTAAAAGGCAGCTCTGTGTTTGGATGCATAGTGCTGTCACTGAGCTGTTCTGCAGCACCACGAGTGAGATCATGGAATTTTGCAGTTTATTTGAAAATTTGGTAGTTTGTTACTACACCTGCTGTCTGAGGTTTAAAAGACGCAGACTCTTTAAAGACTATAAACCTTCTAACTAGATCAACACAGTGTGAAACATTTTATCGTTTCACTACAGAATCTGTTCTGTAATTTAGTCAAATACTGACTCATCTTTGTCAAACCCTGAAAGCAAAATTATTCCAAACTATCTTTAGAAAGCTATCTACCTGGCATTGTTTGGGTTGGATAATTTATGCTGTATTTAAGTTATGCAGAGAGATTATGTTAGAAGAACATTAGATGAAAGGATGCCTGAAAATGAACAGGAGCACCTATAACTTGACCTGTCTTAGATGAGATGTTGCAGTTTCCCACAAAAACCTCAGCTACAACTGCTTCTGTCAGTATTCCCATAGTGCCAACAGACTGGCTTAAACACCAGAAGAGGTCACCGACTGTCGTGAGGTGGCTCAGTGCCACGCAATCAAGGTGTGATGATGCATTATACTTCTAAGAGCAAAGCCTACTCAGAGCTTCCTGCTAGCCCCTGCACCTGCCTACTCATTCCT